ATTGAAAATCCGCTCTCAAATGGGTTCCCTGGAGGTTTCTCACTTTGCTCTCACTTTGTTTCTGAGAGGTCTCTCTTCGATGCAGAGGTCTCTCTCCGATGCAGAGGTCTCTCTCCGATGCAGAGGTCTCTCTCTTTAATGCAGAGGTCTCTCTTCGATGCAGAGGTCTCTCTCCAATGCAGAGGTCTCTCTCTTTGATGCAGAGGACTCTCTCTTATGCAGAGGTCTCTCTCTTTGTTACGGCATGCGCTGCGTGTGATTCTCTGATCTGCTGCTGCTGCATCCACAACTGTGTTAGTCCTCAGACACACTGCTGCTGTGGTTTAGGTGTCAGTCCAGTCTGTGTCAGTCCAGTCTGTGTCAGTCCAGTCTGTGTCAGTCCAGTCTGTGTCAGTCCAGTCGGTGTCAGTCCAGTCTGTGTCAGTCCAGTCTGTGTCAGTCCTGTCTGTGTCAGTCCAGTCTGTGTCAGTCCAGTCTGTGTCAGTCCTGTCTGTGTCAGTCCAGTCTGTGTCAGTCCAGTCTGTGTCAGTCCAGTCTGTGTCAGTGCCGTCTGTGTCAGTCCAGTCTGTGTCAGTCCAGTCTGTGTCAGTCCAGTCTGTGTCAGTCCTGTCTGTGTCAGTCCAGTCTGTGTCAGTCCAGTCTGTGTCAGTCCAGTCTGTGTCAGTCCAGTCTGTGTCAGTGCCGTCTGTGTCAGTCCAGTCTGTGTCAGTCCTGTCTGTGTCAGTCCAGTCTGTGTCAGTCCAGTCTGTGTCAGTCCAGTCTGTGTCAGTCCTGTCTGTGTCAGTCCAGTCTGTGTCAGTCCAGTCTGTGTCAGTCCAGTCTGTGTCAGTCCAGTCTGTGTCAGTCCAGTCTGTGTCAGTGCCGTCTGTGTCAGTCCAGTCTGTGTCAGTCCAGTCTGTGTCAGTCCAGTCTGTGTCAGTCCAGTCTGTGTCAGTCCAGTCTGTGTCAGTCCAGTCTGTGTCAGTCCAGTGCCGTCGGTGTCAGTGCCGTCGGTCTGTCCTGGTGTTTTATGTGAGTTATAAAAACTGATGTGAGGAGATCTGTGGTCCTGGTCTCAGGTCTCTGTCCTTAAGTCCTCTCACATTAGTCCTGGTCTCAGGTCTCTGTCCTGAAGTCCTCTCACATTAGTCCTGGTCTCAGGTCTCTGTCCTGAAGTCCTCTCACATTAGTCCTGGTCTCAGGTCTCTGTCCTGAAGTCCTCTCGCATTAGTCCTGGTCTCAGGTCTCTGTCCTGAAGTCCTCTCACATTAGTCCTGGTCTCAGGTCTCTGTCCTGAAGTCCTCTCACATTAGTCCTGGTCTCAGGTCTCTGTCCTTAAGTCCTCTCACATTAGTCCTGGTCTCAGGTCTCTGTCCTTAAGTCCTCTCACATTAGTCCTGGTCTCAGGTCTCTGTCCTGAAGTCCTCTCACATTAGTCCTGGTCTCAGGTCTCTGTCCTGAAGTCCTCTCACATTAGTCCTGGTCTCAGGTCTGTGTCCTGAAGTCCTCTCACATTAGTCCTGGTCTCAGGTCTCTGTCCTGAAGTCCTCTCACATTAGTCCTGGTCTCAGGTCTCTGTCCTGAAGTCCTCTCACATTAGTCCTGGTCTCAGGTCTCTGTCCTGAAGTCCTCTCACATTAGTCCTGGTCTCAGGTCTCTGTCCTGAAGTCCTCTCACATTAGTCCTGGTCTCAGGTCTGTCCTGAAGTCCTCTCACATTAGTCCTGGTCTCAGGTCTCTGTCCTGAAGTCCTCTCACATTAGTCCTGGTCTCAGGTCTCTGTCCTGAAGTCCTCTCACATTAGTCCTGGTCTCAGGTCTCTGTCCTGAAGTCCTCTCACATTAGTCCTGGTCTCAGGTCTCTGTCCTGAAGTCCTCTCACATTAGTCCTGGTCTCAGGTCTCTGTCCTGAAGTCCTCTCACATTAGTCCTGGTCTCAGGTCTCTGTCCTGAAGTCCTCTCACATTAGTCCTGGTCTCAGGTCTCTGTCCTGAAGTCCTCTCACATTAGTCCTGGTCTCAGGTCTCTGTCCTGAAGTCCTCTCACATTAGTCCTGGTCTCAGGTCTCTGTCCTGAAGTCCTCTCACATTAGTCCTGGTCTCAGGTCTCTGTCCTGAAGTCCTCTCACATTAGTCCTGGTCTCAGGTCTCTGTCCTGAAGTCCTCTCACATTAGTCCTGGTCTCAGGTCTCTGTCCTGAAGTCCTCTCACATTAGTCCTGGTCTCAGGTCTCTGTCCTGAAGTCCTCTCACATTAGTCCTGGTCTCAGGTCTGTGTCCTGAAGTCCTCTCACATTAGTCCTGGTCTCAGGTCTCTGTCCTGAAGTCCTCTCACATTAGTCCTGGTCTCAGGTCTCTGTCCTGAAGTCCTCTCACATTAGTCCTGGTCTCAGGTCTCTGTCCTGAAGTCCTCTCACATTAGTCCTGGTCTCAGGTCTCTGTCCTGTAGTCCTCTCACATTAGTCCTGGTCTCAGGTCTCTGTCCTGAAGTCCTCTCACATTAGTCCTGGTCTCAGGTCTCTGTCCTGAAGTCCTCTCACATTAGTCCTGGTCTCAGGTCTCTGTCCTGAAGTCCTCTCACATTAGTCCTGGTCTCAGGTCTCTGTCCTGAAGTCCTCTCACATTAGTCCTGGTCTCAGGTCTCTGTCCTGAAGTCCTCTCACATTAGTCCTGGTCTCAGGTCTCTGTCCTGAAGTCCTCTCACATTAGTCCTGGTCTCAGGTCTCTGTCCTGAAGTCCTCTCACATTAGTCCTGGTCTCAGGTCTCTGTCCTGAAGTCCTCTCACATTAGTCCTGGTCTCAGGTCTCTGTCCTGAAGTCCTCTCACATTAGTCCTGGTCTCAGGTCTCTGTCCTGAAGTCCTCTCACATTAGTCCTGGTCTCAGGTCTCTGTCCTGAAGTCCTCTCACATTAGTCCTGGTCTCAGGTCTCTGTCCTGAAGTCCTCTCACATTAGTCCTGGTCTCAGGTCTCTGTCCTGAAGTCCTCTCACATTAGTCCTGGTCTCAGGTCTCAGTCCTGAAGTCCTCTCACATTAGTCCTGGTCTCAGGTCTCTGTCCTGAAGTCCTCTCACATTAGTCCTGGTCTCAGGTCTCTGTCCTGAAGTCCTCTCACATTAGTCCTGGTCTCAGGTCTCTGTCCTGAAGTCCTCTCACATTAGTCCTGGTCTCAGGTCTCTGTCCTGAAGTCCTCTCACATTAGTCCTGGTCTCAGGTCTCTGCCCTGAAGTCCTCTCACATTAGTCCTGGTCTCAGGTCTCTGTCCTGAAGTCCTCTCACATTAGTCCTGGTCTCAGGTCTCTGTCCTGAAGTCCTCTCACATTAGTCCTGGTCTCAGGTCTCTGTCCTGAAGTCCTCTCACATTAGTCCTGGTCTCAGGTCTCTGTCCTGAAGTCCTCTCACATTAGTCCTGGTCTCAGGTCTCTGTCCTGAAGTCCTCTCACATTAGTCCTGGTCTCAGGTCTCTGTCCTGAAGTCCTCTCACATTAGTCCTGGTCTCAGGTCTCTGTCCTGAAGTCCTCTCACATTAGTCCTGGTCTCAGGTCTCTGTCCTGAAGTCCTCTCACATTAGTCCTGGTCTCAGGTCTCTGTCCTGAAGTCCTCTCACATTAGTCCTGGTCTCAGGTCTCTGTCCTGAAGTCCTCTCACATTAGTCCTGGTCTCGTCTCTGTCCTGAAGTCCTCTCACATTAGTCCTGGTCTCAGGTCTCTGTCCTGAAGTCCTCTCACATTAGTCCTGGTCTCAGGTCTCTGTCCTGAAGTCCTCTCACATTAGTCCTGGTCTCAGGTCTCTGTCCTGAAGTCCTCTCACATTAGTCCTGGTCTCAGGTCTCTGTCCTGAAGTCCTCTCACATTAGTCCTGGTCTCAGGTCTCTGTCCTGAAGTCCTCTCACATTAGTCCTGGTCTCAGGTCTCTGTCCTGAAGTCCTCTCACATTAGTCCTGGTCTCAGGTCTCTGTCCTGAAGTCCTCTCACATTAGTCCTGGTCTCAGGTCTCTGTCCTGAAGTCCTCTCACATTAGTCCTGGTCTCAGGTCTCAGTCCTGAAGTCCTCTCACATTAGTCCTGGTCTCAGGTCTCTGTCCTGAAGTCCTCTCACATTAGTCCTGGTCTCAGGTCTCTGTCCTGAAGTCCTCTCACATTAGTCCTGGTCTCAGGTCTCTGTCCTGAAGTCCTCTCACATTAGTCCTGGTCTCAGGTCTCTGTCCTGAAGTCCTCTCACATTAGTCCTGGTCTCAGGTCTCTGCCCTGAAGTCCTCTCACATTAGTCCTGGTCTCAGGTCTCTGTCCTGAAGTCCTCTCACATTAGTCCTGGTCTCAGGTCTCTGTCCTGAAGTCCTCTCACATTAGTCCTGGTCTCAGGTCTCTGTCCTGAAGTCCTCTCACATTAGTCCTGGTCTCAGGTCTCTGTCCTGAAGTCCTCTCACATTAGTCCTGGTCTCAGGTCTCTGTCCTGAAGTCCTCTCACATTAGTCCTGGTCTCAGGTCTCTGTCCTGAAGTCCTCTCACATTAGTCCTGGTCTCAGGTCTCTGTCCTGAAGTCCTCTCACATTAGTCCTGGTCTCAGGTCTCTGTCCTGAAGTCCTCTCACATTAGTCCTGGTCTCAGGTCTCTGTCCTGAAGTCCTCTCACATTAGTCCTGGTCTCAGGTCTCTGTCCTGAAGTCCTCTCACATTAGTCCTGGTCTCAGGTCTCTGTCCTGAAGTCCTCTCACATTAGTCCTGGTCTCAGGTCTCTGTCCTGAAGTCCTCTCACATTAGTCCTGGTCTCAGGTCTCTGTCCTGAAGTCCTCTCACATTAGTCCTGGTCTCAGGTCTCTGTCCTGAAGTCCTCTCACATTAGTCCTGGTCTCAGGTCTCTGTCCTGAAGTCCACTGCTGCTGGATTCATGTGTGTGATAAAACCCTTTGTCCTTTTGTCAGGACTTAATCTTTAAATGTTTCTCTTGATGGAAAAAGCATCAGTGCGACTGAAGCCCACGGCCCCAACCCTGCTCCACTGACAACACTGTGGGGACGCGGCTGTGGAAATGGCTGTGGACACGCGGCTGTGGAGACGCGGCTGTGGAGACGCGGCTGTGGAGACGCGGCTGTGGACACGCGGCTGTGGAGACGCGGCTGTGGACACGCGGCTGTGGAGACGCGGCTGTGGACACGCGGCTGTGGAGACGCGGCTGTGGACACGCGGCTGTGGAGACGCGGCTGTGGACACGCGGCTGTGGACACGCGGCTGTGGAGACACGGCTGTGGAGACACGGCTGTGGTGGGCTGTTCTCTTCAGCTGGCATCCAAAACCCACCACTTCTCTCTTGTGTTTCCAAACAGTGTGTATCTGAGCAACTATAAAATAATAATGTCATTTAATATCTATGAAAGAGAGCTGCAGACGAGAGAGCACAGAGAGTCTGTCTCTGTGCTGCAGACGAGAGAGCACAGAGAGTATGTCTCTGTGCTGCAGACGAGAGAGCACAGAGAGTATGTCTCTGTGCTGCAGACAAGAGAGCACAGAGTCTGTCTCTGTGCTGCAGACGAGAGAGCACAGAGAGTATGTCTCTGTGCTGCAGACGAGAGAGCACAGAGAGTATGTCTCTGTGCTGCAGACGAGAGAGTATGTCTCTGTGCTGCAGACGAGAGAGCACAGAGAGTCTGTCTCTTTGCTGCAGACGAGAGAGTCTGTCTCTGTGCTGCAGACGAGAGAGCACAGAGAGTCTGTCTCTGTGCTGCAGACGAGAGAGCACAGAGAGTATGTCTCTGTGCTGCAGACGAGAGAGCACAGAGAGTCTGTCTCTGTGCTGCAGACGAGAGAGCACAGAGAGTATGTCTGTGCTGCAGACGAGAGAGCACAGAGAGTATGTCTCTGTGCTGCAGACGAGAGAGCACAGAGAGTATGTCTCTGTGCTGCAGACGAGAGAGCACAGTATGTCTCTGTGCTGCAGACGAGAGAGCACATATATCATCCAGGGGCAGAGCTCAGCGTTCTCAGAACAGTTCAATAATGCAGAGTTTTCTGCTTCGCTGCACAGAGTTCAGACACACACACACTCACATACACACATACACTCATACATACACACACACACACACACATACACACACACACAGTTCAGAGAAATACACAGCCTGGACCTGGGTCTGAAGTGGAAACATTTGGGAGACGACAAATCCAAGGCCAAGTCCAAGACCGAGTCCAATCCAAGACCGAGGCGCTGAAGAGGGAGAGGATTGGCAGTAGCAGCAGTAGCAGTAGCAGTAGCAGTAGCAGTAGTAGTAGTAGTAGTAGTAGTAGTAGTAGTAGAAGCAGTAGCAGTAGCAGTAGCAGTAGTAGTAGTAGTAGTAGTAGTAGTAGAAGCAGTAGCAGTAGCAGTAGTAGTAGTAGTAGTAGTAGTAGTAGCAGCAGTAGCAGTAGCAGTAGTAGTAGTAGTAGTAGTAGAAGCAGTAGCAGTAGCAGTAGCAGTAGCAGTAGCAGTATTAGTAGTAGTAGTAGTAGTAGCAGTAGCAGTAGTAGTAGCAGCAGTAGTAGTAGTAGAAGCAGTAGCAGTAGTAGTAGTAGCAGTAGCAGTAGCAGTAGCAGTAGTAGCAGTAGCAGTAGCAGTAGCAGTAGCAGTAGCAGTAGTAGTAGCAGCAGTAGTAGTAGTAGAAGCAGTAGCAGTAGTAGTAGTAGAAGCAGTAGTAGTAGCAGTAGCAGTAGTAGCAGTAGCATATTCTCTGTACAGACCTCGCGCTCGTTTAATAAGCCATTAATATATGGTCTCTCCTCTGGTCCACAATGGTCTCTCCTCTGGTCCACAATGGTCTCTCCTCTGGTCCACAATGGTCTCTCCTCTGGTCCGCAATGGTCTCTCCTCTGGTCCACAATGGTCTCTCCTCTGGTCCGCAATGGTCTCTCCTCTGGTCCGCAATGGTCTCTCCTCTGGTCCACAATGGTCTCTCCTCTGGTCCACAATGGTCTCTCCTCTGGTCCACAATGGTCTCTCCTCTGGTCCACAATGGTCTCTCCTCTGGTCCGCAATGGTCTCTCCTCTGGTCCACAATGGTCTCTCCTCTGGTCCACAATGGTCTCCCCTCTGGTCCACAATGGTCTCTCCTCTTGTCCACAATGGTCTCTCCTCTGGTCCACAATGGTCTCTCCTCTGGTCCGCAATGGTCTCTCCTCTGGTCCACAATGGACTCTCCTCTGGTCCGCAATGGTCTGTCCTCTGGTCCGCAATGGTCTGTCCTCTGGTCCGCAATGGTCTCTCCTCTGGTCCGCAATGGTCTCAATGGTCTCTCCTCTGGTCCGCAATGGTCTCTCCTCTGGTCCGCAATGGTCTCAATGGTCTCTCCTCTGGTCCGCAATGGTCTCTCCTCTGGTCCACAATGGTCTCTCCGCTGGTCCACAATGGTCTCTCCTCTGGTCCACAATGGTCTCTCCTCTGGTCCACAATGGTCTCTCCTCTGGTCCACAATGGTCTCTCCTCTGGTCCACAATGGTCTCTCCTCTGGTCCACAATGGTCTCTCCTCTGGTCCACAATGGTCTCTCCTCTGGTCCACAATGGTCTCCCCTCTGGTCCACAATGGTCTGTCCTCTGGTCCACAATGGTCTGTCCTCCGGTCCGCAAATGGTCTCTCCTCTGGTCCGCAATGGTCTCAATGGTCTCTCCTCTGGTCCGCAATGGTCTCTCCTCTGGTCCACAATGGTCTCTCCTCTGGTCCACAATGGTCTCTCCTCTGGTTCGCAATGGTCTCTCATCTGGTCCGCAATGGTCTCTCCTCTGGTCCGCAATGGTCTCTCCTCTGGTCCGCAATGGTCTCTCCTCTGGTCCGCAATGGTCTCTCCTCTGGTCCGCAATGGTCTCTCCTCTGGTCCACAATGGTCTCTCCTCTGGTCCACAATGGTCTCTCCTCTGGTCCACAATGGTCTCTCCTCTGGTCCACAATGGTCTCTCCTCTGGTCCACAATGGTCTCTCCTCGGGACCACAATGGTCTCTCCTCTGGTCCACAATGGTCTCTCCTCTGGTCCACAATGGTCTCTCCTCTGGTCCACAATGGTCTCTCCTCTGGTCCACAATGGTCTCTCCTCTGGTCCACAATGGTCTCTCCTCTGGTCCACAATGGTCTCTCCTCTGGTCCACAATGGTCTCTCCTCTGGTCCACAATGGTCTCTCCTCTGGTCCGCAATGGTCTGTCCTCTGGTCCGCAATGGTCTCAATGGTCTCTCCTCTGGTCCGCAATGGTCTCAATGGTCTCTCCTCTGGTCCGCAATGGTCTCTCCTCTGGTCCACAATGGTCTCTCCTCTGGTCCACAATGGTCTCTCCTCTGGTCCACAATGGTCTCTCCTCTGGTCCACAATGGTCTCCCCTCTGGTCCACAATGGTCTCTCCTCTGGTCCACAATGGTCTCTCCTCTGGTCCACAATGGTCTCTCCTCTGGTCCACAATGGTCTCTCCTCTGGTCCACAATGGTCTCTCCTCTGGTCCGCAATGGTCTCTCCTCTGGTCCACAATGGTCTCTCCTCTGTCCGCAATGGTCTCTCCTCTGGTCCGCAATGGTCTCTCCTCTGGTCCACAATGGTCTCTCCTCTGGTCCACAATGGTCTCTCCTCTGGTCCACAATGGTCTCTCCTCTGGTCCACAATGGTCTCCCCTCTGGTCCACAATGGTCTCTCCTCTGGTCCACAATGGTCTCTCCTCTGGTCCACAATGGTCTCTCCTCTGGTCCACAATGGTCTCTCCTCTGGTCCACAATGGTCTCTCCTCTGGTCCACAATGGTCTCTCCTCTGGTCCACAATGGTCTCTCCTCTGGTCCACAATGGTCTCTCCTCTGGTCCGCAATGGTCTCCCCTCTGGTCCACAATGGACTCTCCTCTGGTCCGCAATGGTCTGTCCTCTGGTCCGCAATGGTCTGTCCTCTGGTCCGCAATGGTCTCTCCTCTGGTCCGCAATGGTCTCAATGGTCTCTCCTCTGGTCCGCAATGGTCTCTCCTCTGGTCCGCAATGGTCTCAATGGTCTCTCCTCTGGTCCGCAATGGTCTCTCCTCTGGTCCACAATGGTCTCTCCGCTGGTCCACAATGGTCTCTCCTCTGGTCCACAATGGTCTCTCCTCTGGTCCACAATGGTCTCTCCTCTGGTCCACAATGGTCTCTCCTCTGGTCCACAATGGTCTCTCCTCTGGTCCACAATGGTCTCTCCTCTGGTCCACAATGGTCTCTCCTCTGGTCCACAATGGTCTCTCCTCTGGTCCACAATGGTCTCCCCTCTGGTCCACAATGGTCTGTCCTCTGGTCCACAATGGTCTGTCCTCTGGTCCGCAATGGTCTCTCCTCTGGTCCGCAATGGTCTCAATGGTCTCTCCTCTGGTCCGCAATGGTCTCTCCTCTGGTCCACAATGGTCTCTCCTCTGGTCCACAATGGTCTCTCCTCTGGTTCGCAATGGTCTCTCATCTGGTCCGCAATGGTCTCTCCTCTGGTCCGCAATGGTCTCTCCTCTGGTCCGCAATGGTCTCTCCTCTGGTCCGCAATGGTCTCTCCTCTGGTCCGCAATGGTCTCTCCTCTGGTCCGCAATGGTCTCTCCTCTGGTCCACAATGGTCTCTCCTCTGGTCCACAATGGTCTCTCCTCTGGTCCACAATGGTCTCTCCTCTGGTCCACAATGGTCTCTCCTCTGGTCCACAATGGTCTCTCCTCTGGTCCACAATGGTCTCTCCTCTGGTCCACAATGGTCTCTCCTCTGGTCCACAATGGTCTCTCCTCTGGTCCACAATGGTCTCTCCTCTGGTCCGCAATGGTCTGTCCTCTGGTCCGCAATGGTCTCAATGGTCTCTCCCTCTGGTCCGCAATGGTCTCAATGGTCTCTCCTCTGGTCCGCAATGGTCTCAATGGTCTCTCCTCTGGTCCGCAATGGTCTCAATGGTCTCTCCTCTGGTCCGCAATGGTCTCTCCTCTGGTCCACAATGGTCTCTCCTCTGGTCCACAATGGTCTCTCCTCTGGTCCACAATGGTCTCTCCTCTGGTCCATAATGGTCTCTCCTCTGGTCCACAATGGTCTCTCCTCTGGTCCGCAATGGTCTCTCCTCTGGTCCGCAATGGTCTCTCCTCTGGTCCGCAATGGTCTCCCCTCTGGTCCGCAATGGTCTCCCCTCTGGTCCGCAATGGTCTCTCCTCTGGTCCACAATGGTCTCTCCTCTGGTCCACAATGGTCTCTCCTCTGGTCCACAATGGTCTCTCCTCGGGACCACAATGGTCTCTCCTCTGGTCCACAATGGTCTCTCCTCTGGTCCACAATGGTCTCTCCTCGGGACCACAATGGTCTCTCCTCTGGTCCACAATGGTCTCTCCTCTGGTCCACAATGGTCTCTCCTCTGGTCCACAATGGTCTCTCCTCTGGTCCACAATGGTCTCTCCTCTGGTCCACAATGGTCTCTCCTCGGGACCACGCTGGTCCCAGGAGACAGGGATTGACTTTCTCACGCTCCCGTTTGTGTCCCTAGTCCAGACCCGGGTCCTGTACAGTCCGGTCTGTGTCCCTAGTCCAGACCCGGGTCCTGTACAGTCCGGTCTGTGTCCTTAGTCCAGACCCGGGTCCCTATACAGTCCGGTCTGTGTCCCTAGTCCAGACCCGGATCCCTACAGTCCGGTCTGTGTCCCTAGTCCAGACCCGGGTCCTTAAAGTCCGGTCTGTGTCCCTAGTCCAGACCTGGATCCCTACAGTCCGGTCTGGGTCCCTAGTCCAGACCTGGATCCCTACAGTCCGGTCTGGGTCCCTAGTCCAGACCCGGGTCCCTACAGTCCGGTCTGTGTCCCTAGTCCAGACCCGGGTCCCTACAGTCCGGTCTGTGTCCCTAGTCCAGACCCGGGTCCGTACAGTCCGGTCTGTGTCCCTAGTCCAGACCCGGGTCCCTACAGTCCGGTCTGTGTCCCTAGTCCAGACCCGGGTCCCTACAGTCCGGTCTGTGTCCCTAGTCCAGACCTGGATCCCTACAGTCCGGTCTGGGTCCCTAGTCCAGACCCGGGTCCCTACAGTCCGGTCTGTGTCCCTAGTCCAGACCTGGATCCCTACAGTCCGGTCTGGGTCCCTAGTCCAGACCCGGGTCCCTACAGTCCGGTCTGTGTCCCTAGTCCAGACCCGGGTCCCTACAGTCCGGTCTGTGTCCCTAGTCCAGACCCGGGTCCGTACAGTCCGGTCTGTGTCCCTAGTCCAGACCCGGGTCCCTACAGCCC